ACTATTGTGATAATCCATCATTTAAATTGGTTTTTAAGCATGAACAGAAAAAATATCATCAGGGTCAGCACTTCAAATGTGATTTTTTTTCAAATTCCTTTTGTCTTCTTTGACGCAAAACCAAATTTCTTGGATGAGAGCTGGCTAAAAAAAATATATATATATTTTTGTGATTTCTTTGCTTATTCCTGACATGGATTAGCAAATAATGAAAATGAACGTTGCAGGCCTAGGAGGAAAATACATTTTCATATTTCTTCTTCTTCAAAAAAAAAATGATGCTAACCTGAAAGCTTCATAAGCAGGTCAGTGGCTGTCTTGGTACTGATGTCAGGGCTGAAGAGGGAGGCTGTGGTTGGACCACTTGGACTGGATCTGATCCCGACCCCAGGCAGGTCCAGGGAGTTGGTACTGCTGCTAGGACGGTCCCTGCACATGCTAAATGGGGAGAGAACAGACAGATCTCGATCCTGCGGCTCCTCCTTTATGTGAACGTGATTTGAGGAGGCCTCGAGCAGCGGCGGGGATGTCTGCTGCTGTGTGTCTGAGTGCAGTGGCGACGCCTCTGACCCTCGCAGGTCTGTGGAGCCACTGTCACCCATCAGGGAGCCCTCGCCCTCTGTGTCGGTGGTGAGCTCCTCTTTCACCTTGACGTCTGTGCGGGGGAAGTGCTGGTGGCAACGCATGTGAAGCTTTAGGCTGAAGTGACGGGAGGAGGTGAAGGGGCACAGTTCACACTGAAACGTCTCACCCCGGTCCTGGTGCTGATGTACCTGGAAAAGGAGGACAGGCTAAAGTGTCACATCACCACTTTTCTCTCTACAGGAACAACAGGACATCGAGAGGACGGATCCCTATCAGTCAGGTGCAACATTATACATACAATATAAGAGTGTTTAATTGTGCCATGTAAGAGATACAATACAATAGTATAAGTAAGTATAGCATAGTGTGCTTAATTGTTAATAATTATATTCAAAGAGCAGTGATACCAGCCAATAAAAGATGATGCAGGTGAGGGTACAAGGGGTGCAGGGTCAAAAGAGGAAGAAAATCCATATCTCACCTTCATGTGGGACTTGAGATTGTCTTTGCGAGCACAGCGGAAGGGACACAAGGGACACTGGTGACTTTTCAAGCCTGTGTGGATGACCATGTGTCTCTTCCAGTAGCTTTTGCGTTTGATGACCAGTCCACAGACAGGACACTGGAACGGTTTGCCACCATCCTCAGGAGAGCCTAGAGGGCACCAAAAAACATTACTACCATAGACATAGAAAAACAAACATCAGTCATGTGTCTTGTGATAGAAGTTATGGAAACAGCTTTTTTGTTTCTGAATTTAATGCAGCTTAGTTATTGTAAAGAAATAAAACACACGCCTTTCTGAATGCAGACTACAGTTTACACAGGAAGAGAAAATGACTCCACACCTAATGAAGAAAACCATCAAGGGAAATGCCAGCTGGAAGCAATGGGACAATGGAAGTAAAAACTCAAGCATGTTTTAGTATCTCGATTATTGTTGTTGGCTTCATATCCGGCATCCATTACTGTTTAATTGGTCTTATTAGAAAGAGGCATGATTGCATTACAAATTCTACAAGGGCCTGTCAGGATGGCTTCATAAGTATTCTAGTGCTGTTCCTTGAAAAACATCTGGTAATCAGTGTTTGGTGAAATTACTGTGCTCAGCCATTCATTGACCTGAGGTGTAAAACCTCGAGACTGCCTATTTGCAACAATAAACCGCCATCTGCGGCCCAAACTCTCCGAGCACAGCAGAGATCACAATGCAAAAATGACTTCTGCTTATGCCGAGTTGAGCTGCGTGAAGCGGGAATAAAAAAGGAGAGAAAATGTGTGCGAGAGAAGTCCGTATATCTTATTACTTGACACGTGTGTGTTCCCTATGTAACCATGTTTGAGAAAAACTGAAAAAGCATTTCTTAAATCTTCAAAGCTCAGAGCAGCTCATGCAATACAGTTTCATAATCGAACTGGCAAGGGACAACAATAAAACAAGACAAGACAGTCAATAATCAAGGTCACATTTTTCAGTCTGGCGACCAAACAGCTACCTGCATTTTTACAGCGCTGCTCGACCTTGACGGCTCACAGGTTAAAGCAGACCCCCCTTTTTAGCATGCAGATCACAGAATATTACATCGACTGCCTCATCTGTCTGAAGTCAATTTGATCCAGCCATTTTAGATTTGGCGGGGTTGCGACACAATCCCTCAAAAGTGCCCATCCATCTCCCTGAAAACATTCTGTTCTCCCTAAAGGCTACTTAGTGTGAGCCTGCACTTTGAAGCTTTCTCTCTCCCTGTATAAGAAAGGCTGAGATCTTTGTTTGGGTTATATGTCTACCTCTGAGTACACACTTGCAGAATATACTGCATGGCCATTTGTGAGTAACAGAGGGAGAGAGAGAACATAAGAGGGAGGGCAAGAGACAGAGTGTGTGTGCATGCACGCATCTGTATCCAGTCAGTGGAAAGTATGATGTGTTTGGCCTTAAGTCTGCTGTGCTGATCAGTGCAAAGGGCTCTGGTTAGTGGGGGTTGAAGCCAGGAGGAGGCTGCCGAGATGGATATGGACTCCAGGGCTCCCCACTGTGCTGAGCACACACTGACAGCCCCCTTTTGGCAGCACGCACATCCGAGCACAAACGAGCTGGTCTGGGAAGGCAGTGAGGTCTCAGTCGGAACCCCCCGTCGAGCCCACAGACCATTTCCCAGACTAGAAGGCCAGCCAGGGCTGTTTTCTCTCGGCTGTGCTCTCTGCTCGGCTGACAGTTAAGCTGAGGCTACACTTCTCACTACTTTAGCGCCAGTGAGGTGAGAACACAGCCATTACAAAACTAGGGACAACATGTCATTTGTGTTCAGATTTGTGCTTCTTCTGAAAGTATTTCTGAAGACAAGTAACCGAAGCTACACAGTCATGTTTCCATTGGGTCATCATGTTGCTTTCACACTAGACAAAACTCCTGAAAACTACCAGAAATGTTCAGGGTCAGCAACATGTGAGAACGCAGAATCTTCCCAGAATTTTTTCCTGCCAGCCCAATCCCCCCAGTACATTTTCTGCAAAAAGTCGGGGTGAGCGGTCATGAAAACGCAGCAGGAAATATTCAGGGAAAAATCACTGCGAGCAAGCGGGAGGGGATAGATTCTTTATACTGTTGGAATCTTGTGCTTCGTCCGCCACTTTCACAGAATGCCTTGATAGTCTCTCGCTGTGAGGTGCACATGTGAACAAGCAACTCTTCTTGAAATTTTCAGGATTATATCTGTAAAAACGGCTTTAGTTTAATTTATCAGAACTTACAGTTCTTTTTATCCTTATATGATGAAAGTGGTCTTGTTTTTCTATTGAACTTTGGATATTTTTAACATTTACTTTTAAAAAGAGAGTGACATTGTGACAAAAGATGAAAACTTCCCGTATAGGAAGAGCAGCTGAATTGATATTGATCCTTCATGGTCTTTCTTCTAAACATACAGACACAAGGTTGTTTTATTCTACTACAGCAGAACAACCTTGTTTGAGCTTAAGAAGCCTGCTTTTGTGTTTAAAGAAAGTTAACTACAAAAATGTACCTAATCTAAGCCAATCTTCAATCTTGTTATGTTTTGTTGCCAAATTTTGAATGAATGTCGTATTACTATAATGATGCTTAAAATGATTGATAAAATACATAACTTCTTACAATTACCTGCTTGGCTGTTGGGTTTGCCTCTGACCTTTGGAGTTGAGGGCAACAGCAGCTCTAGGCTTTGGGTGGGTGTAGAGGGTGTGGGAGTCTTCTGGTTTCTGTCCAGCAGGGGCTTCACATCCTCTTGGAGGACCCCTGCTGACGCTAAGGAGGAACCATCCTTTTTCTCTACCAGCAGGTTTCCTGCCGCCCTGGCTGCCACCTCTTTGAGCAAGGCAGCTGAGGAGGTCATGGACACAAGAGAGAGGAAGGAGCTGGCTGAGGCTTGGTGATCAGTAGCAGTGCTGGTCGTTGAAGAGGTTTGACTCCGCTCGCTGACTTTCTTGGAGAGTGCTGCGAGGGTGGAGCTAGCTGACTGTGGGCTGAAAGGAGAGTTGAAGGCATCAAAGCGCACCACATCATCTCCTCGACTCCCTCCTCCTAGGGTGGGCACTGCAGAAGAGGCAGAGTTGGAGGAGGAGGAGGAGTTCGTAGAGGAGGAAGCCACGGCATTTTTGTCTTGAAGTACGGCATTAGCTGCGGCTTTTAGCTTCTGAATGGCAGAGTCGGGGGACAAGCTGGATCCGCAGGGTGTGGAGCAGCTGGCTGGTGGCCATTTATCTGCAACACCTGCCCATACGAAACCACTGCCATTGCTTGGGGTTATAGAGTTAAAGGGGTCAAGGGGCTCTTGCTTAATGTTGGTAACTGAGGGTGCCAAGGAGGCCGGTGAGGCTGAGCCACTGTTGTTGTTGTTATTAGCCAGTTTTCGGGCTAGAGCACTTAACTGCTGGGCATGGTGGGAAGAAGGGGAGAGGGTCAAAGGTGGAGCTAGACCTATCGGTGGTGACTCCCCTCCAGCACCACCCCTGGATGAACGACCCAGAAGCTCCCCTGTGTCAAGTTTCAGTGACCCAGCCTCTAGGAGGCGCCGTAGGTTGCTGCTGAGGGGTTTCCCCAGGGCACGAGATGCAGCCTCACCGTAGAGTGTTGACACCACAGACGAGAGCGTGTCCTGGGGCGAGAATGCACCTCCATCCAGTCCGAGAAGTTCCAAAGAGGCACGATGGACAGGTGTGGGGCAACCCATTGAGCTCTCACCTTCGCAGGTATCATGGTCCCCAGACCCTGAGCTGACTCCAGGGCGCTCATCAGGAGAGGAGCCCCTGGGCAGGAGGAGCTCATCCTGGGTGTCTCCGTAGGATGACGACTCTGAGCGCGTGTCAGAAGCATTCCCAAACCAGCCTTCCTCCTCCACAGGACCGTCTTCTGGCCCTCCTTCCTCGTTGCTGTCAGCATCTGGAAGAAGAAGGAAAACGTACAATTTAAAATGAGGAAAAAGGCAGAAGATATTGTGCAGGTTGTTGGACAAATATAAATCACTATGTTGCTAACATTTCCTGTGGACCAGGGGTTGTCTTTTATCCTGACAGATAATCGTGTGCATCAAGCACATACAGCTTATCCCCTTTGATTATTCTCATCCTATGTTGGATAGTAATTGGAACTATTTCTCAAATAGAACCATTAAAGAAACATGCTTTTGAGCACTCACAAACAGTTGCCATTTAAAGCTGCACATGTACACTTAAGTGCTCAGAAATGACACAAAAAATTAATTTCTAACACAAATCAAACCACTGTCTTATATAACTTTGGTTTTCCTCAAGACACATCCAATATGGTTGAGTAATTTAGATTTTTCTGTCCTTTTTTTCAGTATATTTTTTTCCCACCCTTGGTCTGGAAGAGTCTAGTAAAGGGGTTACCATGACAACGGGTCCTTCTGGGAGGCTAGACAGCAAAGATTAGGGTAATGGAGGTTACAGAACTAGATTAATATTCATGAGCCTGCAGATACCACCGGGGAGCCAATAAGGATAGGGTTAAGGTCACCAAGGGTCATTAATATACACTTCATGTATCAATATTCATAAGCAAAACATTACAGCTTGCCAGACAAGGGCGAACAAAGAAAAGTGAATATTCCTGATACATATTAACAAACCTCCACAAGAATATGTCAAAAGCACTAAGCCTTGGCAAAACAAAATGTCAAAACTTAAATTTCTCTTGGTTTCTTGGGTTACTTTACACAACCTCACATAAAATCTGTTAAAAACAGAACTGGCTGAAAAATGGGCTCTTATACATCTGCATGAACATGAGGCAATGATAGAGTGACTTAAAATGTCTCACGCATACATGTATTTACACGGAGCAAAGAAGTCTTCACCTTTACAACCCTGACGGAGACATGGTGGGTCTATACTCTGTTTATAGGCTATGGCAAAAAGGTTGCCAGGCAACCCAATCCAGCAACCTGTAGGGATCATTAGAGTTGGCTGACATCTGGCCAGCGTGGCTCACCATGGTCCACAAAGGTGACCACATTCACAACCTTGTAAGACTCCTACTCAACTGCTGCAACAGATATCAAACAGGGCTCACACATTTCCCAACATTTCTCATATCTGGCTCACACATTCACTTCAGTCTTACATTTTACAAAAGTAACAGAAAAGTCAGATGCCAAAATCAAACACAATGGTGAACCTAATATTTTCCTCTGAGCTTCCCCTGCCAAACCATGTGTAATAGACTTCAACAACATAATATATGCAAAATGTAAAAGACCTATGCCCATAAACAGTAGTACAATTTTTCAGATTTCTAAACAAGCATTGATAAAAGCTTCTGAAACGGCCTTCAATACTTAGCCCTTATAAACTTGAGATTCTGCTATAACAAAGCTCTGCCGACACTCCTCCTGTATACTTTGCATTCATCCCACCATAACTGACCTGAAACCAGAACCAAACAACACTGTGGAGCTAGCAAAGAGTGTAATGTTAGTCACAGCTAGCAAAATTTAAGTAATCATTGTGTTTAAGTATCTTTTTAATCACACCATTATTAAAAGGGGTACTCCATATTTGTCAATACTACAGGTGTTTTGAAATTGGTTATGAGAAGGAAATATATATTTGACATCTCTAAACAGTAAGCATGGCACTTCTCATGTATTGAGACTATTGTAGATTTAAAAAAAAAAAAAAAACACACAATCTTTTTCTAATTGGGAACCCCATTTCCCATGCTCATTGAAGCAATTTTCCCACCTGAGTAGGGTTAACAGGAATAAAAGAGAAGCGAAGGGATAAAGACCCAGTGAGTCATGCAGGGCAGGGCTTGACCCATTTCCATGTGACATGTGAAAGAACAGCTAAAGCCACTATAGATTGTAATGTGGTTAGAAGGGAAATTGCAAGATTGCTGACCCAAGCTCCAAGCTCTGAGGCTGAACTCCCTTGCTTCCTAAGTTTGGCCTCTTAGACCTCGGGGTTAGTTGCAGCTGGAAGCAACACTACACCACACCAGGCTACAGTACACTGATGCACTCCAGCAGCATGGCTTTGTTTGTCACAGGCGAGCCACCCCCGCAGGCGGAATGACATTTCCCAAGGTCATGGTCTCCAGCCCAAGATCTAAGGGGGGTTCATATGAGCTCTGCACTTGGCCACTGCTGCTGTTAGACCAACACACACAAGCATGTGCATACATTCACTCCACAGACAAGAATGGGATTTAATACAGAAGTTCTCCCCCCACCCATATGCATTTTTGTCTGACACACATTCAACCGCTTTTCCTCTGGTACAGTGGCTGGGCTCAGCCCCCCCCCCTCCCTGAAGTGATGGAGGCACGGATATAAGACTGAGGCGGCAAGCGTCTGCCACTGAAAGGGAACCATTTAGCGGTGTAATGGCGGGGATGACTTGCATGTTGAGACAAACAGCTGCGGGGGGCTCAGCAGTCTGGATCTGTTATCACTCACACATGGGTGATTCAGTGGTGCAGTGGCATGGGATTTTCTCTCTGGGCTGCAGGGATGTATAGCACCAAACATTACAGACAAAGACAGAGACGTAACAAGTCAAAGTGCAAGCTGAGGCTACAGAACGAGAACACCATTAGGCCTGAAATATTTTAATGTAACACCTGTGTGTGACTTTTAGTGTTTAGAAACCTGTATGTGTTTTTTTTTAAATCTATCACAAACAAAGATAGTGAGCTAACAGTCTGTAGCTACAGCTGAGAGCAGCCGGACATTACAGGTACTGAACTCGTTCATTGTTTTGCCAAGCAGTGCTGTCAACATTCTCCATTTGTGAACTTGGAAGGATTATTTTGGCCAAGGCTTTCTAGGTCAAAGAGGGGTGCATGTGTGTGTGTGTGTGTGTGTGTGTGTGTGTGTGTGTGTGTGTGTGTGTGTGTGTGTGTGTGTGCTCTCTCTATTGCTTTTTGCAACAACAGTATTGCGGTATTACTATACTATTACTACTACGGATTTGTTGGAAGGCTATTAATTAATTAATAATACATACAGGGTTAGAATAGGAGTTAACCATATATCCTTGCCATACAAAGCGACAACTGATACAAAAAGAAGAGGCCTGTAGTTCAGGTAGGTCACCAGGTCACCAACCACATGACTTGTGTGAGGCTGCTGACTAACACACTCTGTCACACACACACACACACACACACACACACACACACACACACACACACACACACACACACACACACACACACACACACACACACACACACACACACACACACACACACACACACACACACACACACACACACACACACACACACACACACACACACACACACACACACACACACACACACACACACACACACACACACACACACACACACACACACACACACACACACACACACACACACACACACACACACACACACACACACACACACAAACACACACACACACACACACACACACACACACACACACACACACACACACACACACACACACACACACACACACACACACACACACACACACACACACACACACACACACACACACACACACACACACACACACACACACACACACACTGTGTGACTTAGCCAGGCATGCAAAATTGGCCTCACTGACCCCAGGCCTGAGCAGGGATGGGGTGAGGAGACGGGAAGCCGAAGGAAGGGACAGATAGTAGGAAGGGGGGGGGGAGGGGGTTGATTTGGCTGGGCAGGAAAGAAGAGGAAGCCATTAGCCGATTAAGACTGAACAGGGGTGCATCAATACTGTGCCGATGTCAAAATGAGAGTCATTCCCATGAGCTAATATAGCAATGGAAGGAAGAGAGGCCAAGATGAGCTGGAGAGAGCTGGGGGGGGGGGGGGGGGGGGGGGGGGATCATAAGATTGCTGACCGCAAAGCCTATATAGTGGGATGATATAAAGGAATGCCAAATCATCATCAAGAATAAATCCATCGCATCCACATCGCTGAAATAATTAGTCTTACATCTAAACTGAGAGGGAAGATTGTTGTGTGTGCTTGAGTATGTCCGGGGGCTGGGTTAAGGAGGCAGTGCAGGAGGTGATAGGAACATAGACATAGGAAGGAAGGCAGAAGTATGGATTTAGTCAGGAAGGAGCTGGGCCATAATTAAGTGTCCGGCTGGACCCTAGCGGGGTTGCCACGGCCGCAGGCTATGCTAATGAGCAAGCCCGGCGGTCAGGGCTGCCTTATTAGCGCCTGCTGGACAATATGGTGGGAGAGACGCACTACTGGCGGGCTCACATCTCTACAAATGACTAACCGTCCTCTCCCGAGGAGGAAGATGATTCCATTAATTTGGACTGACTGGATCAGGATCGCTTCCTTTCAGTCTTTCTATAATCTCTCACTTGCTTGATCTTTTTAACACTACATGTTTTTTTTTTTCTTCTTGTCTCCCTTTATCCCTTTGCATCTTACTCCTTTCTCCATATACAAATGTAAAAAATAAATAAATAAAACACAGACGCTCTAAATAAATCCAGCTGGGTGTGTGGGAGCTAGCAGACATATATCCTGGCTCCCTTCATAAAAAAATTATACACCATTTATCTGTTTTTAGGCCTGTTGACCTTTTGCAGAAGTACTGTTATAAACGCTTAAAATTTTAAAATGAAACGTGACAATAACAAGTGTTAATATTGTCTTCAATGCTGATTTAGCACGTTAACTATTTACTTTTAAAGAGATTGATGAAGTTGTGATAGTCCCTCTCCTAGGGGTGTGCATTTCTCTTTACCAGAGCATTGTCTAAGCAAACTGCTGCAGCAACTTTGGACATTAGTGTTCTCTCCTTGTGAGCCAGCTTCTGTTCACAGACAGGCCCCCTAAGGTCACATTACTCTCGTAAGAGGTAAAGGGTCAACCCAAAATCTTGTGAGATTAAAAACACTAAACACAGTAGGGCTTGGAATCTTTGGGATCTTTCATGATTCAAAGTCTATTTCTGAATTAGTACATACTTCAGGATCTACTCCAGTCATATGTGAGACTAG